AGAGGCAGAGGGAGAAGCAGGCTCCCAAGGAGCAGAGAGCCTGATGCGGAACTCGATCCCAGGACCCTGGGATCATGACCTGAGCCGAAGGCAGATGCTTAACCATCTGAGCCACCCAGGCGCCCTTTCTTGGTCCTTTTAATCCCTACCTGTCCCAGCAGTTTGTATACTTGATTTAATCTGGAGATATAAAATAATTACAGAGGTAGGTAGATAGATGAAAAGCCAGAACTCTAGCTAGTATCTAACTTTTCTGTAACTGTCAGAGGTTACTGGCATTTGTAAATGGATATTGCCTTCAGATTTCTTAACTATTTTTTTTTTTTGAATCAGACTTTCTCTTTCAGTAAATGTCTTTCTCATCCTGAAATATGTGATAAGTGAAGAAAAATAGGGAAGTCTGTGTTTGAAGAATTCTGCTTATTTCTTTTGTAGATCAGTTATTCTCCACTTGGGGTCACCATGCTTACCAGGATCTCCAAAGGTAGTAGGAGAGATCTGAGTTACATAAAAAAATAAAAATAAATAAATAAATAAATAAATCTGACATTCACTTACCTGGGGTGAGGTTTTAGATGGACCATATATCAGGTTTCTAGGAGTTTGACTTATTAAAGTGTATCTTCATTTTTAATGTGAGTTCACGGCTTTTCTCTGTCTTTTCCATTTGATCCGTAGAACATGGTGACCATGCAAATTAGATTATGAATAGATTATCAGATTACAGTGATGCCAGGTGCTTATCTACAGTGTGACACTCTTTTCCTCTAAAAGGAGTTTTCTTCACTTGATTTCTTTCTTTTTCAGTTCTCTGGTAAAAAACCTTCAGATCATGCCAGGGTGTGGGCACCATACTCTGGTTCATTGCCAATGAGGCTTTAAGACATAAAACATCTGACAAATCGGGCAGATCTTTGAGGTTAAAAGGACACCCATGCAGCATACGTGAATCAAAATAGAAACAAGGTCTTTGAATTTATAACATCAGTGTTTTCCCTTCTGGTTCATTGGTAATTAATGCTTGCTGAGGCCATTCTAGGTCAGGCATTGGGTCCAAAGCTGGGGATGTAATGGTCAGCTCTTAGTTGTGGCTGCAGTTAAGTTAGGGGAGCACAGACATAGGTGCTTCCTCACAAAGGCAGGTCAGAGGCCTGGGAGCCACAGATCCTTAAAATGAACTTGCTTATCCATGTTTGTTTGTTTGTTTATTTTGCGAGAGAGAGAGAGAGCGTGTGCACGAGAAGGAGGAGGGTTAGAGGGAGCAGCAGATTCCCAGCTGAGCAGGGAGCTGGACTTGGGACTAGATCCCCGGTCTCCAGGATCATGACCTGAGCAGTCGCTTAACCAACTGAGCCACCAGGCGCTCTCATCCATGTTTCTTAAGTAGCTGAAATTACCATAGTATTTGATTGACTATACTTTGGTCATGCCTGTATGCCTTTTACTTCCTTTTCTAAATAAAAACACCTTACATAAATCAGTTTTTTTTTTTAATTTTTTTAATTTTTTTTTTTTAAGATTTATTTAAGCGAGAGAGAGGATGAGAGACAGAGAGCATGAGAGGGAGGAGGGTCAGAGGGAGAAGCAGACTCCCTGCTGAGCAGGGAGCCCGATGCGGGACTCGA